CATCAAATTGATATATGTATGTATATCCTTACTACTGCCATCCTCAATAGCTGCTATTCTTGATCCTAAATTTGCAGCCACTATGTTAGGAAGTTTAGTTTTAAGGTTTTTTTCAGAAATTCATTATAATTTGGTGGGTGGGGGAAGGTCAAAGCTAGAAATTAAGCCACCATCCCCTTGAGAATGTGTGCTTGGTTAACTCAAGTCTTTGTTTTGAGGCTTTGCTCCTTTCCTTAACCTTGATTACTGTCCTTATATTTAGCTTTTACTTTTTTTTTTTTAAATTTTTGTGTGAGTGTACCGTCAAATCAGATCTGACTGGTACAGGAGGAGATTGTCCCTCCTTTTCCCGGCAGAGCATCTGGTGGATTCGAACCGTGTGCCTCTGAGATTGTAGTTGCAGCTCCTTGCCACCCATATTTAGCTTTAAGATACTTTTGTTGGTCTGCATGGTTGTCAGTTGATCACTGAGCAAATTCATTCTCTATAGCGAAAAATTTCTGCTCGGGCCTTCAACTGATTGTGAGTCTAGAGTAATTTTGCATAATTACTGAGAATTTCAAGGGCTAAAAATAGTGGTTAATAACAATGTCTTTGGTGTCTAATAGTTCTGACTTTGATCCTCATCTCTAGCACTGTATACGTTTTTGACCTTTAGAAAATTACTTAACTTCCCACACTTGGTGTTTCCTTAGCTATAAACTGGTAATAATACTTTATTTCCTAGAGTTGTTTCAAGGATAAAATATTTAACATAATGTCAATGAATCTGGGTGGTAACAGTCAATGATGATAGCTAACTGTTATTAGTTGCCATAACTCTACAAGTATACTTAAAATTGAAATATTCATATATTTTACATGTGTACACCTCTTTTAAAATAGTCCTAAAGTCCAACATTTTTTTTTATTAATTAAAAAAATTAGTAATCTGTTTTACAGGTAAGTCAGCCAAGGAGTCATTTATTATTTCCCTGAATTATTGAGTGTTTGTAACTCCTTATGTCAAATAATCCTGCTCATAGTATTCCCATTTTGATAACCTGGTCTTAAAGAATTCCACCCAGTAAGTGAAGCAAGTTACTTCTTTCCTGAAACCACACGGGTCCCTCTAAACCAAGTTCCTGCTCTTCCTCTGTTTGATTTCTTAAAATAGTTTCTGAAGATTTTAACCACAACTGAATCAAAACTAACCAGCCTGTAATTTCCTGGTATGTCCCTATGGCCTTTCTTTTAAACAAAATATGAAAAAAAAATGGCATTGGCTAGTTTCCAGTGTTTCGGGGTTTCCACTGAAGCAAGCTGGAAAACGTCTGTGAAAACTTCTCCAATTTCATTTAGTCCCTCCTTAACAGGAGATTCTCGGTTGAGTGTGGTTTCATTATGATATATTTTCACATTTAGGGATTTTAATTTTTAATTATTTTAAGGAATGTTTTCCAATATGATCCTCTTGGCTATATATTTGTTTAATTTTTTTTTTTAATTCTGGTTCCTCAGAAAATAAGGAAACCGGTATAATATATAAGCCAGCATATAATCTAGAAAAAGAAAAAAAAACTGATCTCTAAATTAGCTCCAAAAATACTCTGAAAAATAAAGATTCATTTTTTAACCCAAAAGTTACAGTATATTGTTCACTTTGGCAGCATTTATGCAACAAGGCATATACAATAATAAACATAGAATATGTCTTTGAATCTTCGGAAAGCCTGTGCAAGTGCTACAAACCCAACTAAGATATGTAAGATGACATTTACTTAAAAAATTAACATCTTTTCTTTATATCTCTTTTTCCCTCTTTATTTTTTATGATCAGGTGTTTTTAACCTGTTGCATTCTTAATGTAATGTAATCTATATATTTTGGCTCATAATTGTTTTATATTTTAATAAATGTTTACCTTAAGATATACTATTACTTAAGATCTATAACTTGGAGTTAAGTAAAGCAAAAATATGATTTTAAGCAAAAATATTATTTTCTTCCACTTAATGACAATATTAAAATATGGCTTTGAATAGAAATCAATATAAATACCTAATATACTGTAAGATCTTTGGTGACTCAATATTAAGGAGTTGCTCTGCCAACCAAAAGTCATACAATCCAAATCCATCAGCTTCTCAGTGGGAGAAAGATGGATAATCTCTTCCCTTTTTATACACTGCCTTTGCAAATCTGTTGGAGGGTCAGTAATGAATTATGACTCAACATTACTTAAGAACAACAGTGTACTGTAAGGTTTCAGTAAATAGTCATTTAATTAATGCCTGAACAACTATTGATAATGGTGGCATTTGTTTTCCGTGGTAAAAATCTATAATACATGCTGAGACACTATTTGTACATGTGAAAAAAAAAATCATTTCTCAACATAAACCCCTTTTATTCAAATTTTAAGATAATGAAATCAATTATTTGGGACTAATTGTTTGAGAGTAACATCAGAAGTTCTGACATGTTACAATGTATTTATATGAATACCGGACATTTTCTTTAGATGATGTATATTTGGAAATTATTAGCACGGTATTTTGAAATAGATAACAGCTTTCAAATTTATTAAATTCATTTGCAATTAGAGGCAAGAATTTGCATCCTATAAATACATATGCTTTAAATTTATGTGCTTTCCAGCTGTTTCTTCTAAGAAATAATGTTCTTTGTATTATCACTTATAATATTAGCCAGCCAGCAAACTTCCTTCATAGACAAAGGAAGTTCAATTTTAAGCATAGCCTAGGTTAACACATAATAAAATAATAATATTTTTACTGAATTGGCACTTTAAACTATTCTGGTTACCATAATTTTTAAGACAAAATTTGATAGATTTAGCATTTAAAGAAAACATCTATAAAGACTTCATTTTGAAGTTTACGAATCTGAAGAACACGAGTCACTCCCTTGAAGAAATCTCAGAATCTCATCCTAGGTTCAGGAAAGAGAAAGAAATTGGGAAAATTCTCTCTCTCTTTCCATGCCCCACACCTCCCCTTTTCTAACCCACAGCATGGTGTCAGTTTTACATAATTTGTAGTAATTTTGCTTTCTGCCAAAAATTTCTGGCTGACAAGAATTAACTTCAATTGTTCCAACTGACCTCTTGGGCAGTATTGTTGAAATGAACATAGATTATATCACTACTCAAACAACTCCCTTAACCTTGCTTTTACCAAATGTACTTTCTGAGGAAGATTCTATTCCAATTAATTTTCATCAATTTATTTAGCACTTACTCATATGGTTGCAACTCAGAGATTTGAGGCTAGTCCTATGGGAAACCAGTCTGATGAAGACATCAAATTAGATTATGTAATTATTGGCTGTTAATTATTTAAGGAATTCTCTTGCTTAATCTATTAGGGTTTGGGTTCCCGCCTTCTCTGAATACTTCAAGTTCAAGTTTTAATTTATGAAGATTCTCAAATTTTCAATATAATTAATAATTAAGAGTATTCCTGTATCTTCAGAATCTCATGCTTGTATTTTAGAGTTTTCATTTTGAGAACTGCTGTGCAAAATAATAGTGCCGCAATATTTTTAAATCATTGCTCACTCTAAGAATTTCCCCCCCAAATGCTGGGGTATTCAACTCATTGTTACCCTTTATGAAGTAAAATCTAAAACTATCCCTTCTCACAATTTCTGACTGAAATTCATTGTCAGACTGGAAAATCAGCACTCTTCTGTGCATTTGCAAATACAGTGCGAAAGCACAGGGCAAACACAAGGTGTAGGAATTTCGGAGGATACACAATTTAGTTTTCATAATCCAGATTCCCGTATGACACTGGAATTTAAACAAGCAGGAAAAGAAGTTTCAACATTAGTTTAAAAATTTCCTTTTTTTCCCCTCTAGATCTTAACCTCCGTCATTATTTCTTAAAGAATAATTCTTTAAGAGGATGGAAACAGCTTCAATACCTGAAAAACTATATTTTTACCGTGTCTCTATGAGCAGAATTTTCTTGGAGAAAATATATGTCTTCTAATAAGATGGTATACGTGGAATATCACTGAACAATACTCAATTACAAATGCAAGGTGATATAATTATTCCCTCCCCCCAAGATTATCTTGTCAAAAGTCCAACTCAAATAGAAAACCTAGATTTTGGGGTTTAATAAAAGTAAAGATGGGATATATTGTTCTCTCTCTTCTTCTATGAAGCAACTCTCTTTTTAACCTCTTCTACTTAAGAGCCTGAATAAGCAGCTTACATGTAAGTCCATCTCATACAGCCACATGTGTGCTTACACATGGCACACACGTACATATGGGGGTATTTGAGTTTGAAAATATTTCTGAATGATTTGGAAAATAAAAGAAAAAATTCCATGATTCAGTTTTTGTAATGATAAATGCAGATGGTTTAAATGTGGCATCCCTTTACAAAAAGTATTTTAAAACAGTTCTTCACATGTAAATAGAAATCGTTGAAAAATGCACAGATTGATTTCCATAGGTAAATTAAATGAAAAATGCACATGTGAAGAAATAATCAGATGTGTAATGTGGGAATAGAAAGAATTGAGTGCTGTAAAAGTATTCAGATTATTATGAAAGAGCAGATGCAGTCTATTAATAGGTATTCTACTGACTGTCCTATAAAATATCTTTATCAGGACTCTCTCTCTCTCTCTCTCTCTCTCTCTCTCTCTCTCTCTCTCTCTCTCTCTTTCTCTCTCATTTACTTATCCTGACTCCCTGCTGTGTCTCTTTCTCGGTTTTCTTCATTACTCTTGTATGACCCTATGCTTTTTCTATATATATGGAAACTATTTTTTAATGTGTTTGTCTTTATGAAATCATAATTCCTCCAGTAGATTTTTGGATAGGCTTTTCCCTAGTAGGCTGAGGTGAAAGTTCAATTTGCTAGGCAACACTTAAAGGCAGCTTATGTGGGTGGAGAGGATGTGGCTCTGGTGAAAGCTGGCTGGGTTTCATGCAATGCTCACTCCCTTTGGCATACCCACCGTCACATTGTATAGTACCTTCTTCTCACTTTCTCGTCGCTGCTGGTCCTTCGCTTTAATCTGGAGAAGCTGAAATTTTAAGAGCTTCCCTATCAGTGGTAATGTTAATTTTTCTCCGTTGTCCATAAGTGCCTTTGCTGCCAATAGCACCTATCAAGAAAAACAGTATTAGGGAGAGTGGCATGCTATAACCTTTGGCACAATCTATCAATGATGGAAAGATAATATGCCATTTTGCATTTTGAAATTTTTGTATTGCTGCAATGGTGATTCATTGCTGGCCCAAAAAAAGTTCAGGGGAAAAGCCTGAACATCATAAAGAGTAACATTTGCCCTTTTTCTTAGAATTAAATTGGGTTGTCCTACTTTTTTCCAATAAAGCAGACAGGGCTTCCCATGACATTGCTTGTCTTAGGGCTGAAGAAAGGAGTGAAAGAGAAGAGAGCTCCCTTTCAGGATGACCACTGGGTTAGCTTCATGCTACCCAAGGTCTTTTGTTGTGTGCCAAAGCCAAGAGTACAACCTGTCAAATGCTGACTTATTAGGATATTATAGCTTAAAATAGAGGTTTACAATAATCAAAATAGCTATGTTAGACAGTCTTTTATTTCTTAGTGACCAAAGTTGAATGGAAGATAAAAGCTACTTGACATAGAGGCTCCATAACAATGTTCTTATCCCTCCTCAACTCCCCCTACCCACAATTTAATGTTGATTTTGTTGGTATGCAGCCTAATTGGGGTGAAATAAGGTTATTGAGTTTTCTTTGGGTGACGACAGCCACTGGGAACATACAGCTGTATTGTCCAGATGTGTGGCACTGACAGCCTGTTTTACGACTGTGTTTTTTACAGCTTGTTTCCCCTAAATTTCACACAACTCTCTAACATCTGGGCTCTTTTTCCTTGGAGCCCCATAACCACTTTATTTACTGCAAAAAAAATAAAATCACATAAAATATATCATAAAAAGTCGTTACGTGTTTCTCTTTATGCATGTTGTCTCTCTAATAAAGTTCACCTACGCCGGAAGCACTGACACAAAAGTAATCTAGTCCAAGCATTTTTCGACTTTTGTTTTCGGGCAAGCATCGGATTTATTTATAACCTCGGGATGAATTAGGTGTTACGAAAATGTTCTGACATGTTGCTCTTCTCCCCCCTCGGAGCAATTACGCGTCGGGGCGCATATGGTGTCAATTGCGGGCCCTGGGGCTGAGACGATGACCGCGCACACTGCGGCTCACTGAGCAGTGTCTTGTCGGCGGCCTGTAAGAGCCCTGGCTCAGGGCTTTCCAGAACTGGTCAGTTCCATAGGAATTTCCACTTTGCCAAGGAAACAACCCAAAGGAAAGGAGCTTGCTATTTTGCTTCTAACTGCAGAAGACTCAGCGGACTCTTTCGCGCCAGAATGTAACTGGAGCCCTTTAGACATCACATCGGGGTTTCCTGACTTGCAGAAGGGGAAAACTCGGGGAAGGACTCCGTTCAGGCAGCCTTTTCCAAACCAAAGGAGCAGACCCAGCACCAGAAGGCTTCGCCTGTCTCAAAGCAAACACTCTCCACAAAACACACTCTTTTGGTCATTTATTACAGCTCTATTTCAGCAAACACAGTGTGGAGGGAGGGAATCATGGCTGTGCTGTTAGGAGCAGAGAGGCATAGCGATCCACCTGCAAGGTCTTACCTTAAATGACGTTCAGATTCAAGACTGAAAGGACTCCTAACGGGGACTGTGTATGGGTCATGCATTTACTGTAAAATGAAAGCTGTCTGATGGGCTCAACCCCAAGGGTAGATGTCAGCATTCAATTTGAAATGACATTTTTCAGTCCCAGTGTGCTGACAATCAGACTGGCTATGTGACATCTGGTTGGAAATACGAAAATTTCAATTTTTTAAGCTCAGCCTTGGATGGCGTGTTTCCCTGCAATCCAAATATAAAGAAAGTGTTGAAGTGCAGTTAACACTAAAATAGGTTACTGAAGAGTGGTGTGCAGTCTTTGCCTGATGACCTGTGAACACAGGATATTTACCCATGTCTGGGGTGGCTTGGGGGAAGCCTGCCCGGCGTCATACTGATGGATGGGATGTCTCTGGAGTTGCTCTCTAGCCTGCTGTCTCCGGGTCTATGACTGCTACCTCACGGTGTTGAAACGTACTCAAAATACAACAGAACATCCCAAGAGAAAGGTATGTTGCTGGCCCTAAAAGTTATTTCTGGCCCATCTGAAACTTGTGGAGTGCTGAATTTCAAGCAAAACCTGGCACAGCATCAAAATATCCTGCTCTGAAATGGGTGTGGGGTGGAGCAATGGGGACATGTGAGGCTCTTTGCTGGTGTCCTCACCAGGCACTGTGTCCTCATGACACTCGGGCTCGGTAAGTTAGAGCGGTGACAGCATTGAGGATGGTCTGGTGGGAGTTCCCTCTATCAGTCACACAGCCGCAGGCCAAACAAAGCCAATCAAGGCAGATGAGGCTCCTTGCCTGGTGTCCCTGGAGAAAGAGATAGCAGTGCAGGCAGCAGACAGACTTTTCCTCCTCCAAGGGGTTCTGAGGAGACTGGCCCCACAGAAGGTGCTTTCTTTCTCTTCCCACAGAGAGAATGCAATTGTGAATTCTTGGAAAAATGAATGCAAATACTAGACTATGCTTAACTGAAAACCTGAGACGGAAATATGTGAGTCCTCCCCAGGAGGAGCAGAACAAGAATATTTCCAAATTAATTTCCAGTGAGAATTATTCTTCTCATACTCTATAATTCAAAAGTCTACCCAATCCACAGTTAGTAGTTAGGTCTCAGACTAGGGGAAGAAAAAAACCTCGGAGAATCTTTGTTAGAAGGGTAAGTCTTTGAGGGAGTGAGGGGAAAAAAAAACTGAATAGGAAGTGCATTTTAAAGAGGAAATCTTACTTTACACTAACATCTCGGAAAAATTTCCCTTCCCTTCTTTGAACCAATTACAGTTAATAATTAACTTTTCAACCTTCCAGCATTGGGAGGGTTACTTCACTAGTATCCACACTGTGTTTGTGTGTGGTTGTAGTAGGTGGTGTTGAACGTATTGGAAGGGATGAACGATGGAGACAAGAAGAATAGTGATCTGGTAAGGGTGGAGGAGACAAAATTCAGGCTTCCAGAACTAGGGAGCTCTGGTGGCCTAGTGGTAAGAAATTGTGCTACAATCTCAAATGCACAGAGTTCAAATCCTCCAGCTGCTCCAGTCAAATCCTCCAGCTGTTCCAGTCCGCCAAGTGCTCCACAGGAGATGGATGAGCAATCTCTTCCTGTGTGATTTACTGCTTCTGAAGAAGGGCTGGAGGGTCAGCTTTGGTTGGATCTGACTCAACAGCACACAACAACTACAGATCTAGGGGGAAAAAATAGTCCTGTGTGGGTTAAAACCCAGATCCTCATCAATCTAAAACACCAAGTAAACAAGCCTGGCATGAGTTGGAAACAAACAAAAACCCCAGGTTTTATGGGCAAATGAGACTTATTGAAATGGAGAAATGTGCTGGGTGAGGAGGTATGTGGAGTAGCCTGAGGCATTACTTTACTTGCATGTTCAATCCTGGGTAAATTTGAATTAGTGTGATGATTTGGATTCTTCTCCCAGATTTGGAAACTGACTTTGGTGGAGGAGGTAAGAGGAAAGGCAATGTGTTGTATATGGCAAGAGGAACAAGATGGGCTGAAGGAAACCTCCTTCATGAGATCCAAGTAGCTACCAACTTCAGGACTTTCTTGGGAGTCTGTGGGTTGCAGCAGCTAATAATTCATAGACTTTTGACTTCATATTTAATCCATTATTCTTGAGTTAATGATTTAGCATTGGTTTGGATATGCAGCAGTGGAATCCATAATAACATAGAGAGCTTAACTAGGCCAGACTAGCACAGCACATGCTACCATGGTGCTCAAAAGGAAAACTTACTGCCATTGAGTTGATTCTGACTCACAACAACCCTCCACTGGGCTTCTGACGCTATAAATGTTAATGGAAGGAGATTGCCCACCTTACTCCCATAAAGGGGTTTCTGAATTAGCTACTCTGAATTAGAAGCTTGGTCTTTTGACCAGCCAGCTAAGGGCCAGCCACCAGAGCTCCTTACCAGACATGCTAGGTTCTGAGAAAGATTCACAGAGTGAGAAATAAGGCTTTAGACTAGTACAGCGCTGAACAAACAGGACTTTGATACATATGATATGTTCACTCTGTTTTCTTTCTTTTCCTTTCACATTCTTCTGGGTTGGGTAACTATTTCCACTTATATGATAACATATTTATTTTATTAACATGTGGTTGATTAAATATTCATTCAGTACTTCCTCATCATCATGGTTATTGTTCGAGGCGTTCAAGTCCAAAATGATTCACAGTGACTCTATGAACAATGATCTGAGCCTTGCCTTGTCACGTGCCATCCTCTTCCTTTCTGATCTTCTTTAGCCCATTGTTACAGACACTGCATCAACTGATCTTGTTGAGGATTTTTTTCAACAAAGATCTTCCTCATCTTCCTCATCTTCCTCGCTGGCCTTTCAGTTTTTCAAACTTGACATCTTTTTCCAAGGCTTCTCCTAAAAACCTGCAAAAAGTCTGCAGATGAAGCGTCTTCATCCCAGTCTCTAAGGAGTACCCTGACTGTACTTTTTCCAAGACATGTTTGTTCTTTTACAGAATATGGGATACTCAGTACTCTTTTTCCAACACCACAGATCAAAAGCATCAGTTCTTCTTCTGTCATCCTTAGTTATTGTCCAACTTTCAGATGTATAACAGTTGACTGAAAAGAATATGGTTTGATGAGGTACACCTTAGTTTTAAACTGTCATTGTCACAGAAAGGTCAAACAATACACAAGGATGTACAATAAAAGAAAACATCTCGTTAACCTCCTCCACTGTTTAATTTTTCTAACGGAAATTACAAATAATGAATTATTGTGTATTATTCTATAATTTTCAAAGCCCTATAAGCACATATATATGTATAGACTTTTTAATACAAATGTGATTGTGCTATGCATGCTAAGTGGTTTGTAGGTTTCTACATAAAACCACATCTAGAATAGTTATCTGTGTAAACATGAGCTACTTATGTTCATTTGTTGTTATGGGCTGTCTAGTTGCTTGCAATTCAT